CATTGCTCTAGAGGGGCGGGCATTTAAATAAACTCCGCCCAGCTGCCCCTACCGGAAATTAAATGGCCCGTCCAATAAAGGTTAATACACACACACATATATATATATATATTTATTTATTTCTCAGAATGCCCTTAAGACATACATGTGTATAAAGTAACGTGTACCCACCTTACTGGCCGGAAAAATATTTTGTCACGAGGAAACTCCAGAGGAGAGATGCCAGTAGAGCCTGCAGACTCTAGGAACACATCTAGACAAGCCATAAGTTGAAGCAACTGGGCTGCTAAGAGGGTGTTACCCCAGCCCACTCCACCCACTAGTTCCATCCAGTAAACATTCAATTCACGTTCCATATCCTACATATACACAGAAAATTAATCCTATTATACTGTTCCTATAATATCCTATTTGCATATGTAGTTCATGTTCAGTATCGCTGTACTTGTACACAGTTAAGAAATGTATTCTACTTTTACGTGTTATTCACAGAAAATGTTTACTCTGGTGAACACAAGTCAGGTCCATCCACATTCCATTTGTACACAATCCCCTGGTAATCTGTCACTGCCAGTTTACTCTGGCATGCTAAAGTATGAGAAAATCCCAGTGGCCATGTAGTCTAAGGCAGGAACTGTTTTTGCCTGCTTGAACACTGGGGTTGTGGGTTCGAATCCCATTTGAGGCATGGATGTCTGTGTGTTTATTCTGTGTACAAGTATCAGCCTTGCGACAGGCTGATCCCCCGTCCAAGGAGTCCTACAGGCTGTGGATATGATTAACAATCTGAAAAAACAGCCAGGGTCCAAAGGGCTCTAGAGCCATAGAGAAAAAAAAAAGTTAAAATATGATAATTCTGCAAATGAGTATGATAGCAAAATATTCACAGCATTGCTGACTTAAGAATGAAGTGTGATAGAGCAGTTCTCTACTTCAGGATGAAGGAAGCTTCGATGTTACAACATCAAACACTACAATATATATGACTTCAGAAGTGCAGATGACCTAATGTAGAACTCACCCTGATTGCATCATTATTTCCAGCATCATGTTCACCATGCCAGTTTAACTGCAGACAGAACACTGTAGGTGTACGTGGATAGTCACATTTTACACCTATAAGTGCCACCAGTTTTGCTGCAAATAACACACAAACACATAAGAGAAATTCAAGATTAAAACACCCACACGTTTTCTTTTCTCAAATCGAGCATGTGAAACACATCTGTTACACGAAAGATATGGTACAAGTAACGAAAGAATGAATCCATTTGAAAGATGTGGCTCTAGATGCGTGGATAATATTAAATCAGAAAGCATGGACTGGATTCAACTGGCTCAGAATAGGATCTGATTATGGCTATTCTGTAGGCAAGGCAACATTCTACATGATGATTTGAATTGGATGTGGCCTATGTTAAGATACTATCCCAACACCCTCTTGCAAGGACTGGGAATAACCAATCTCTAGGCCAAAATTCAAGTATCAGTCTTCCCGGATACAAAGAAGTTAGCCACTGCACCAATTTTGGCTTCAGGAACTGCATAACTACAAGTCATCTATATGAAAACAATGCCCTGCAAGAAAATATTCTAGTCTCTTTATAAAGCACATGAAGCAAAGAACACGTTATGTTTGGTGACAGCAATAACAAACTGGTTTATTTATTTTATTTTACTTCAGTGGGTAATTTCATGATGCTTTCAGTATTTGGACTAAACACAATCAAATGACAGGATGACCGATGAATGGTCATCCTCACACATGCCTAGTAAATAGTGCATGTACAGTTAGTACTGAATGTCCCCTTTGATATTCCTCTACAGTCCAGTCTTTAGATCACTGAGACATGTGGAACCTTTCATAAATTACAGTCTTTTGTGCAAAAATGTTTTTCATGAAAAGTGTCCAGGAGGTATAGGCAAGCAGCTATCCTCTCCCTAGATTACTGTTACCTTTATGTTTGGCATGTGAAAGCCTGTAACCAAATTTAACTCATTACTTACCACTGCCTCTAGTTAGCACAGCCTTGTAAAAGGAATCTCCACGGTTCACAGCCTGGGCCTGCACGAGTGCCTGTGTGTGTGCGGTATGGCAGAAATCATCCCATGATATTAGCTGCCATGAAAACAGGCTGGTACATATCTTGGCCGGGAAATTGCCGCGAAGAGCATGTGGTACTGAGACCAAGCCAGCCTCTGGGAAACAAAAAATAATAAAACACACTACATTATGTCCCGAGAATATCTTAATATATGGAAAGCTGGATTTTGGGTACAGTGCCCGAGGCACCTAATGTCATACAAAAATTTCTATATTAAAAAAAATTAGACTTTCAATTCTTACATCTTTCATTTCTCTCATGCGCATATGAGGTTGAAGGAATTATTATAATAAGATCTAAAAGTTTGTGACGATGGTATATTGCAACAAGTATTAGGTTTTTGGACATTATCCATTGTCCTGTCTATTGTCTAAAAACCATCCTGTTTCTTATTTAAAACATGTTTCAGAGACTGGATTCTATCCCTGGCCTCAGATAAAACCTACTCAGTTGGGTCCAATAGATAGAGCTAGCCCCTAATGTTTTGGGGTTCTATTACCAAAGAGTTGGTTACTCTTTAATTGTAATGATGATAAAGATGACTATGACAGTAACATGAATATTTTCTGCTAGAAAATGCTGTAACAGTTTAACAGGGCTTTCAAAGCACACAGAGAGAAAAAACTCTATGCACAGAATATTCATATGTACATGTCACAAGATTTCATCCGAGTCTCTCCGAATAAGAGTTTCGTGTCTTGTTCAAGGTTCAAGATAGTTACAATATCACTACAGGAGCCTTGGATATGCACCGGGCATGTGTTACTAGAGATAGCAACAAACATCAAAATGACATAAACAGGAAATCAGTAATACTCAGTGCTCAAAACTGAGCTGTTTCAGACAGGAACAATACTAACAACTACATACATAGCCTACTACTTAACAATGAACTAAAGTGGGGGCTCCCTTCAATTCTGAACAACTGAAGCTTACATTTATAGCTGGATTTAAGAAAATAAAGCTGGAGTTGAAGTATTAAATGAATTATGATGATACAGTTACAGTATATCTTACCAAGGGCTTGCACCTGCCTGCACAAAGCAATTCGAGCTTTCAGTCTTTGACGAATGGCCCGCATTACACTCTCTACACTCGCCTGACTCACAGATGTCTGTGGCTCTACAACAGAACTCTCCTGCAAAATGTTATCTTTCTTTAGCAGTTTTATATTCATATCTGTAACGAACTTATCATTACATTAAAATCACGGTAAGCCTACTGAAGTCACTGGTTCTTATTTTATTTCACAAAGCTCTCAAATGCATCATTAATTAATCATAAAATGTAAGGATGAATGTGAATTAACTGGGAAGGATATAGCATCAGTACTCTCTCAGCATTTCTCTGGATGGATTAATTAGAAACCCTACACATGAATAAAAAGCACAAGTAGAGACCACTACACACATGATTGATAACATCATATTAAATTCCACCCAATGTATTTATATTGTCGCGTGTTTGCTAGGACATGTGACAAGAAATTTTATGGGTTTTGGATTTGAATGAATATTTATTGGACAATCTCTTCTACACTTGCAAGTATAATCATTCATAACTTCACTATTACAATTACTTGCACTGTTGTTCTTGGTGAAGTCTTCTTGGTATCTGTCAGATGCAAGCTGCCACCTCACAAGTATATACATCCAAAATGCTGTTGCCGATAGGAAATTAAAAGGTATGAGGTCAAGGTAGCTTAAACGAGCAATGTTCATGCTAAATTTCCTTAAGTGAGTATGTGGAAAATTAAATAACACTGGAAAAAAAACACTGAATTTAAAAACTCAGTAAATTTCAGATATTCGAAAATATTATGAAATGGTAAAATCGGTAACCCTGAACATTAGTGTTAAATACAGAAAAAAAATTGAATGTAAGACTGTTAAATTTAGATTCAACTGTACCTTGTTGCTTTCTTGGGCATTTCCCATTATTTCAATTGCTCTGGCACCCATGAAATCAAGCCCAGCAACACGTTGGGCCCAGATATATGGTATTCCCAATTCTGGAATGTAGCTGGCAAAATCCTCCAGACCAACAGACTGAAGCTGATAATGATTTGCTACATTGGGACTATCCAAGCCAAGATCATGTGGAAATAATGCTGTCAATATGTTATGGGGAGCAATCAGGTCCCTACAACACATACAAATACACAGCATCTATATAAAAGCTTGACTTGCAATTGTTCATCTTTCCAAAATCAGACCTAAGCAAATACAACACAAAATTATGAAATACTTCTCAGTACTCTTACAGTATACCTAGAAACACTAAGACTTCTTTACATCATACAGTTACTGCAAAGTAACTACACACTGCACTACATTATAACATAGGTGCATGTGCACGACCCAGCTGGATAAGCGTTGAATTTCTTCAATAATATTGCAATTACCTGTGAGTTAAAATATGGCCACCAACCCCACAGGACTAGGAATATAAAATCCCCTATTCCTGGACAACAAATTGTCACAGAATTAAAATCTGGCCGCCAATCCCATAATACTGGAAAAATTTAAAATCCACTGCTCCCAGACAATAAAGATTAATAATTTATTTTGAACAAATTAACAGCACCTGAAGTAATATTTGGATAAATTGAAATAGTACCACAATTTTGTTCCCAACAACTGCATTTGATTTACTTTAACATGGTAACACTTTCCACATACATAATTTTTTTGGAAAATGGATTGGCCATGGAAGCCAAAAATAATGGCCACACTAGCTTTTGAGATCTGACACGTATATACTTGTTTTTTATGGGTGCTGTTAATTATTATGTTTTTTGTCTCCTCCTTATCAAATGAGCATGACGACCTGAAACATGACATGTGAAGCAGAAATGATGAGGACTACAAAAAGTTTAAACAAGCTCCAATATCATTTAGATATTGTTAGAACCCCTAATGATGCTCATATTGGCCATCCATAAACAGAAAATCTCCAAGATATTGTTTCAACTGATACTGTGGCTTCTGTAAGCCCAACAGTTCAATCAAAACAATTTCTTTAATTACGAGGGAGTCAATAAACAGGCCACAATTGGATATAAAAAGTAAAACATGTGATACTTGAACCTATGAGGGGCGTTCAAGTTCTAAGGTCTCCGATTTTTTTTCTCAGGACTGGGAGCAGATAGACACATGCGGTTTAGTTTAAAATACGTGTGCACTCTTTGTGAATGCGTGACAGAGATGGCAGCACTCTACGGCACACAGAACTCTAGTGGTAGCGGCGAGAGTGAGGAGTGTTTTTGATACTTAAAATGGCAACGTTTTCGTTACAAGAACAGTGAGTAATCATTCGTTTTCTCCACTTGTGTGGTGCGACACCCATTGAAATTCATCGCCAGTTGAGTGAGACGTGTGGTGATGGCGTCATGAATGTGAAAAATGTGCGTTCATGGGCACGACAGTTCAAAGAAGGCCGAACGTCGTGTGACAATGAACCAAAATAATCTCGGCCTCGCACCGGCCGGTCTGACAACATGGTCGAGCGAGTTGAGAAAGTTGTTTTGGAGGATCGCCGATTGAGTGTGGAAAACACTGCCTCCAAAGTTGGCATTTCCGTGGGATCTGTGCACAAAATCCTGCATGAAGACCTGTGAATGCGGAAAGTGTCCTCCAGGTGGGTGCCACGAATTCTGGCGGATGACCACAAGGCTGCACGCATGGCAATTTGCCAGGCGATGTTGACACGTGATGAAGGCATGAATGGGACTTTCTTTTCATCATGTGACAATGGATGAGACATGGATGCCGTTTTTCAATCTGCTATTGCATCAGCAATTTTCCAGTGGTCAAAACAGAATCCTACAGAAGCGTTCGCAGCGGCCATGGAATCATGGTGTCGACGTTGTGAAAAATGTGTACGGCTACAGGGAGATTACGTTGAAAAGTGACAGAAGTTTCAAATTTTTTGTATGATTATTGTGTGAGAAAAAAAAATCGGAGACCTTAGAACTTGAATGCACAACGTAAAAAAAAATTAATTTTTTAATGTATCTTCCACCAACAATACACTTGTTCCATCACTTTACCAGTGTGTTGAAACCTGCAGCATATAAGTCTTTTGACTGTTGTCTTAGCTACTTCTGCATCTGGTTGGGTATCATTTGCGACTTTCAAAAGTCCTTGAGAAAATTTCTTGACCCAGTTGTGAACTGCTTTACATGACAAAAACTTCCCACCATAAATAAGAAAAATTTCTTTGTCGATATCCTTTATACTGAGTCCTTTTCCCCACAAAAAACTTGTAACAGAATGGTCCTCTTCTGTAGTACACTCCTCAATTTGACTACTGAAACTGGCCCCTGAGCATGCTACCTAGACTATCATGAAGGTGGACTGCGCTGCTACCCAGTGATACACATAAAAAACCTGTTATGTCTATTACAGCTGTTTTACTTCCATTTGTGACTTATTTACTAATTCTCCCTCGTACTTTGTATTTCTTGACATCAAAATAATAACAGCTCCCTTTAGAGAGGGGGAGGGGAAGAATAAAATAAAAAGACACAGAAAAAGTAACCATAGAGAGAGGGCTGGAGCGATGGAGAGGCTGACTGCACTATATACTACTATGAGTTGCTATATAAAGTGTAAGTTCCAGCCAAGATCATCTACTATTTATCCCAAATGTAAATCCTATATAGCAAAAACTTACCCAGCTGAAATTCCATGAACAGCCTGTACAAGGGTAATCCGAGTCTTGACAGTTACAACATGAAGATGAACCAGGTAGTGGAAACTCAGCAACAAGCTGTTCCCATCTGCAACAGCATATCCTTCAATACTACTTGAACTGCGCATTGGCCTGTATGCAATACAGATGAATTTTCCACAGATTGTTAAGAAATAAATATAAAATCCAAAAGCAGGATTTTAAACAAGAGCTGTAGGAAAGCTGGTGAATGAGAGAACACTGTAGCCTGGCCATATATTACACACTGACGGCCAACAATATTTCTTTAAGAGTATAGAAAATAATGTGATAAATAAATGCCCATTGGGGAAACCAATGATTAGGATACAGCAAGACAAACTATATAAAGGTCAGGCAGATATGAGAGAACAAGGAACAACAGGGAGAACTTTTCACATAAGAACCTCCAAGCTAGAAAAGTTAACAGACTGTGAAGGTAAGTGTTCCATCTACAGTCTCAGGCAGATGGCAAAATTTAGAAAATATATAAAATTTGGACACAAGGGTGAAGTTATACTTGTGTTTAAGCTTGCCATGACATAGCCAATCATTCCCTCCTACTGCCTTATTTATATATATATATATATATATATAATTTTTCCATTTATATATAATTACATGATGCTAATGCATTTATTACAATTACGCACAAATTAAGCGAGTCTGATGCAATCTTATGCAACCAACTGATGAGGTAGACGCCACACAAGAGTTCTGTGATATGGCGCAACGTTAGCGAAGTTTAAGAAGTTCAAGAATTTTCGTCTCAATGATGCTATGTAAGGAGAGAATATTCTGGAAGGAATGAATACTGTAATGTATATCATGGGTTGATTCAGCATTGCATTACATACAATGTACCTCTCTGAAGTGCAAAAAGTCTTTCCCTAACCTCCGGACTGACTGGACACAATATGTGTATCTCTTCCTAATAGTAGGCAAAGGAACATTCAGTTACATAATAACAATCAGCCTAAATAAGTACTAAGAGTGTCTACAATTTTTAACACAGTGTGTAGTCTCTATGGTCTATTGGTCAAGAGTTCCTGGCTACAGATCTAGAGGTCTGGGTTCGATTCCCGGCGCTACCAGATTTTCTGAGAACTAGTGGGTCTGAAACTTAGCCTCATGAGAATAATTGAGGAGCTATTGCAAGGAAATCGCGGCTCCGGTCTAGAAAACTGAAATTAACGGCAATGGGGATTCGTTGCGCTGACCACGCAACACCCTCTATCCACTAAAGTTGGCACTAACTTTGCCGACAAGCAGCAGTTGCTCAGTCAGTATAGTTCACTTGCGGACTCAAGCAACAGATGGCTCTACAATTGATGGATATTTTTATGACAACCAGGATCTGCCTTCATGAAGTAAACATATTTCTATGCCACAAACCCTGAAGACAAACATAAGCAGTCAGAGATAAAAGTATCTTTGCAGAGGGCAGACATTCACTTGCTTGTATTTAAAATGTTAATTAAGCATAGTAGTTTCACAATACAGTGATCAGAATACAGATCAGTCAGTAACAGTAACAAATTATATTTTAATGTGAAATCCATAAATCAGATTTTGTTTTATAAAATTTAAAGTTTTTCACTACTACTGACCTTGAAGTTTGATGGTGATGTCCACTGTCAGAGGATGTCGTAAGAGAAGTCTCTTCTTGCGCTCCTCAAGACGGTCAGTACGTGAAAGCTTGCGATGGTGTCGCTTCTGTCGGTCCCCACAATCCTAACACATGCAAGAGTACACTCATTACAGCGTATGCTGTTGGCTGCCTTTGTACACTTTCTCATACTCTTCATAACCACCGTGAGATCATTGAATCCTCAATGCGTGATAAATGATACGTATTTTAAATGACGTTACATACTGCATTTACTGAGTCAGTTTCTTTCATTGTGATCTTGAAGTCAATAACCTTTATTCCACTTCATCAATCAATGTCATCTCTTCATCATCCCTGTCTTCTTTTTCAGCTTTAGTGTCTTCAGGTTTTCCATCTTCCTTCTTACATTTAATGTCTTCACCAGTCCCAACTACATCACCCTTACTATAATGTGGTTAATATGTTATCGCTCTGAGGAGAATTACCACTTCTGGTTCATAGTGTAATAGTACAGGGCATTTAATCAAGGAGGAAACTTCACCACATCACTGACGCGACCCAATATTCCTCACAGATTGCTGCTGTAACTGTAACGGCGCGCGTTTATCAGTGCTAATGACTCATTCTGCTATCAACAGTTACAGCAGCAATCTGTGAGGAATGTTGGGCTGGGTCAGCAGTTTTGCGAAGTTTCCTCCTTAAATGAACACACTGTACTTCAGACAAACCCATCTTAGCTAGCATTTCTTGAACCTGGAATATATCTGTCCCCTTTGCCACTTCTGAAAGTAACTTGGAAAGCTCACCATATCCCACAGGTCCTGACATGACAGCACATATTAGTATCTGCCTCTCTTGCATGCTACGCCGACATCACTATATCGTATAAATATCAGCATATATCAACTTGCGAAATGCTAAAAACGTTTAACAGTGTCAATATAGATTTCATGCCTAAATTCAAGACAACCCTTCGTTTTGTAACCCTTAAAGTAGGGAAAAATCTTCTGTTCCACTCAGACTGCAACAATTATAAGATGGAAGGGAAAACACATTAAGATGGGTATTTGAAAATATCTGTAATGTGGATGTGTGATCACCTAATTGAGATGTACAAGGGCGGTTAAAGAACAAGAACGAGAAAAAAATTGTTCATTTTAGATGAGACAAATGGCAACAGAGCCCAAAAAGTGTGCTGGAAGACTTTGCTCACAATACTCATTATTGACGCTGGTCACCAGAATAGTGCATGAAATATGCGAAAGTTTATTTTCACAATAGAAAAATTAAGTATGCAAGTCACATGACAGAATGCATTTGCAATTAAACCTAAGACATTCCTCGTGTCCATAACATCAACATCTGAGCATACCTCTTGGTCTGAATCAGATTCATCTGCTGCAGCAGAGTCATCCAGGGACTGCTTCAGCGACCTGGCTTCCTCTTCATCACCACTTACAGCCACAGTCAACAGTGGATCTGTGAATACCAGTCAAATAATTACAGTATAACAAAATTAACCAAATACATGTCTATTAATTGGCCTATCATAATTACAAGGCACTTAATCAAGGATTGGAAATTAAGTACCTACTCCAATGAGTCAATAGCCACAAAAACAACAAATCCTGTATTTCAGACTGCATGATATACATACCGAGTAACACGGTAAAGGCAAAGATATCCCTAGACTTAATTAAGCACTACGTCATGAAAGCATATGGGGAAGAGGAGGTAAAGTTCCACCATTCTTGACCTTAGCACTAGATGGAGGTGAGTGTTCAGCTTCAGGCACCCTGCCTCTTTACACCCTTGGGAAAGTCCCCAGTACCCATTGTATAGGAGGCTGGGTGGACCCCAGACATGGGCTAGATAATATGGAGAAGATAAATATCTCTTCCCCCTACTGGAAATTGAACCCTAGCTTCTTAGTCATAAGATGAAAATCCAAAAATTACTTAAAAAGACATGCAGACATGATAGAACAAAACCTGTCTATCCTCTTAAACTAAAACAGGAAGAGTAGGCCAAATATTCAATATTCATCCTTACCACATGCTTCCCTATATGCATCTGCTTGAACATATAGCACATAGAGTGGTTTTGGTAAATGGTAAGCAGCTTGGTGTTGCCTGCGGATCTTGTCCAGGGGTAATCCAAGGTAGTCTTGCAATGGTTTTGTTACCTTAAAAAATATAACACGTTATTACTGTTATCTTTCATGAACAGGTTTGAAACAGATGAGTGCTTCTAAGTCAACATAGCAGAAATCTGATTATCTGAATTGCCAAAAAACCAAATCGCGGCAACCAAGGACTGCATCTAGTAAACAAACATCACTGTTGGACTTTTTGAAACAAAGAGTCAGTAAACGTTAATTTATAATTACATTTATTAATTTTCATTTAATGCATTCTGTTGTGTTGTGACGGTTTTAATAAAGAAATTGTATATTTATTAATTTTCATGTTTCACATGTTTTATAAGTTTTAGTTTTTATTATTATAACAGTACAGTACACTATAATTGCGGTGAAATAGTGTTTTTTCATGGATAAGAATTGAATCCAATTATCTGAATTTCTGATTATGAAAACCACCTTCATCACTAATTAATTAGGATAATCTGCATTCTACTGTCCTAACAACTATCAAATACTACTTTGCTAACATCCCATTTAATGTTATGCTTCTATCTATGCCTAGGTCTCTGTAAGGCACAATAGATCACTGTGGTCACGGTGCAAAGGCCAAGAAGGCCCACCCCTTATACATTCATACATCCAAACATTCATGCCTAGGTCTCTTGAGCAGTCTTCACAAAAATTAGTACTTTTCATACATTTCTGGTTCCTTTCACCTCATGCCCTAATCTCATCCTTCTAGAAATAATTACTCAAACAACAGACAAAGAGTATAAACTGTCAAGCTCCTTTTACTCAAATTTCTCTCTCTTCCTGTACCTGCTTCTCTTTCAGGGCCAATATACATAAAAGAACTGAACTGCAGAAAACATAAAGCTCCTCTAAGATTTGAGGTTTTCACGGCAGTGACTATGAAGAATGCTGTCTTCTGGGATGCTGTGCTGTGTAGAGCTTGTGTGAACCGATGTTTCGGTGGAACATATCGCCTCCATCTGTGAACGAGGAACCAGTGCGAGCAGGTGGTTGCAGACTGCAGGCATGTTTCTCCAAAACGTTGGATCACACAAGATCTACACAGCGCCACATCCCAGAAGAAGGCATTCTTCGTGAAGCACCTGTCTGTCACCATTCTATGCACACGTGAAGGTGGAAACAGTTAAGTGCTGTTGACCATTAGTTGCCCAGCCGCTAATGCAGCATCACTGCCATGGAATCGCATCACGAACATTTTAACTGTGATGAAAAATTCTAGACAAGGAGCAAAATCATGCCACATGTATCCACACTGTGCACAAATTCTGAACTCTTTAGCTACAGGAATGGAATCAGAAATACTAATAGCAAGAGCTTTTAAGTATTACAAATGATAAAACAATTCCATCCAGTGTGACTGTTGAAGCTTTTACTACTTCACTTCTTGGCATGCTAACATGTTTCGGTCCCTATAGACCATCATCGGAGGGAACGTCAATACTTTTAGAAACTAGTATTACATTGGGTGTTTTTATTTTTAAAATATATAAATATACAATATTTGTAATATACACTTTATACAAAATCCAAATTTCTTACAACTACAGCAACTGTCCTTGATACATTGAAGTTTTAAGTAGTTCTGCAGCCCAATGACATTGTATCTCTTATTCGCAACTATAGTAAACCATAATTATGATGAACCTGAATATAATGGACATAATGTAGCTCTGTATAATTATGAATTCTTTGAGATATTGAGGCACATAAAAAAGTTTTGCAGTTTTAAACTATTAAAAAAACAATATAAAAACCTTTATGTACTAACACTGTGTTCCTATGTTTATTGCGTGCACTGGCTATGTATCTCAGACGTACTTCTGTGGATACCCAGTCACTTGGTTACAGCGCCCATCAGCAATAAATGACATCCTCTCCTGCCTTTGATCCCATTATAAAAGTGTTTACTCTAAATAAAGGAAATTAACATATACCTCAAGTATGCTTTTGAGACGTGGTGTTAGGTTTTCCAGCCTCTCTCGTTTACTCTGTATCTCCTTGGCTACAGTCTCTTTCTCTGCCTGCAGTTTCTGACACAAAACTGCCAACTGTTTGCGTTGCTCCAGCTCCCATTCTAGTCTTGCTAATTTCAGTTGATGAGAATCATTTTGGGTCACATTCTACACACAAAGCCAGGATAAATTCACAAACTCAGAAGTTATAACATTACATGATATATTTTCATTGAATTTTTGGTTGTTTCATGATACTGTTTCAAATACAAAGGTGACAAATGAGATGGGAAGACGACCGACTATAAATGGTGAGTACGTATGGAATGTAAGGAGGATGTCATGACCTATTTACAGGATTTACCTCGGCATTCATCAAGAGGAGGAGGAGGAGGGGAGGGGGACACACAGCTGCCTTTGTCGCAAGCTGTGACCAGTCAATGACTGGTGAAGCCATACAAGACTCCATGTGTACTGATGTATGGTGATCTGTAATGTGTGTAGATTCATAAAACTATTAGAGTTACCTGCAGTTAAGAGTTATAAGAGTTCAATAATTCCATTCAGCAATCCAGCCCCATGTCTAGTAACTAACATGTGACAATATGAACTGAACTTTCCAATATATATAATACCTCCAATTAATGGATTCATATTAAATTGGGCACAAAAAATATTTACTTTATATAGTAAAATTTGTAGGAATGAGTATGGAAACTCAGTATACTCTGATATGAAGCATCCCTTCCCAGCCTGCAATCCACATAATGACCTGACTGCTTTCAATCATATGCAGAAACTAATTCAAAAAGGTTTCAATTTGAAGACAAGTACAGTCAACTCACTGGGCGTGACAGCAATTCTGGTGCTTCTTTATAAAATTCTTCCACTGGCACAAGATCAATTTCTTCATCTTTTGATCTGGAAGTAAAGCAGATTTACAGGAATTAATGATACTGGATATTCTGAGACACATCTGGTACAAGTGGATAAGAAAAGCATTGTGTTCAGGCATGGGACTTGTGGGCTGTGACACCATGCAATCCTGTAGGTTGACACCAATGTTTCAGAGAAACCTGTTGTTTCCATCTTCAGGGCTGAAATGTGGCCCTAAAAAGGATCACTTTCCACTTCACCCAGAAAGAGGTCTATCTCTTCTTCTCCTCCCATAGATGTGTGACCACTTGAAACCTGCCTACAAAAAAAAACCAACACACTATGACACTGAAGATGGAGGCAACAGCATCCTGTTACCCACCTACAGGGCTACAAAACATCCAAAAGACTGTATCACTGCTGTGTGAAGATGTCAAAACACATCATTCTACACGCTCACTGACTCACAGACAGCTCCAAATTGATAATTATAAATTAAGCAATAATTTAGCAATGAAAATTAAACTTAGCAACAGCGTGTACTCTGCAATACTGACCCAATGCCTGCCTTGTTCACACCACTTCCCACTACCAACTCACACGCCACAATCTCACCTGTCATGCTGGCTGAACATTACATGGAGCACCATAGTGACCTTTGTCTTCAGACAGAGGAAACCATTTCAGCATCTCCTGTAACCCAATTATATCCGCATCTACCAAGTTTATGTTTAGATAGGTTAATTGTTGTGTGATTCATAATTATTAATTTGGGGCTTCCTCCAAATGAATCACCCTGTGTACAGTATAGTAGCTTACTGATCTTCGCAGCCTTGCATGCTCTGTAATGGCACTGGGATTTCATGTCTGAAGTGGAGAGCATCAATAAGATGAAATCTGCTATATCAAGTGATATGGTGAGATGACTGGCAGATGAGAAGGGTTTCCAATTATCACTTACAGCCAGGTAAAAACGTAAGTGAAAATAACCACGTTATAGCAACAGAGCCGGCTCTCATTAACTTCAACTCCACAGTGCCTCGGTATCCAGTAAAACTGGATCTCTTTCCCTCGTGATACCAGTCACTACCTAAACTGTCATGAAGCTGAACTGTGCTTCTACCTAGTGATACTCATAGAAAACTATTACGTCCTTTACAGATATTTTACTTCCATTTGTGACCTACTTACTGACTCTCCCACATGTTGGTGATTGGGTTAATAATTATG